TAATGGAAGGAGATTCCCCTTCTAAACAATAACTTCCACACTCTCCCCTCCTCCCATCCCATCCCATCAATCATCACAAGATCTTCAATAAAGGTAAGTGTCATGTATTCTATTCTTAGTAGAGTAGTAATTGTGCATGTCTTCTTCAGTTTGTGTGTATTAAAATTAATATTTCATGTGGTAAAAAAAATTTTTTTTTCATACTTTGGGGTGTCAGGAATGGATTAATTTGATTTCCATCATTTCTTATGGGGAAAATTAATTCCGCTAACGATAATTTCGGCTTATGATGAGCTCTCAGGTACGGATTAATATCGTAAGGCGGGGGTCCACTGTACTTCCCAAAGGCAACTCCGCAAGAGGAAATTATCATTTTCCGTGCGTTTTGGTGATGACGATAGTGAAAGTGATATAAGTGATGATGACGAAGTCGATTTTATGCCGATAGACGATTCGTCGAGTGAAAGTGATTACCATTATTCCCAGTGAAATGTACTTTTAGGCATCATAACCTGCATTCAGGCAGTGTGCCATATGCAGTCAGCGGCAAGGGTCGTATGAGGTCACGATCCGAAACCCCAGCCACTGACAGTGATAGTGATCATGAAGGTGAATATGTTGGGATGGAGGAAGAGGGAGGTGGCATGGTGCCTGGACTGATATATATGTGGAACAGTGAGAAGTAGAAAACACATGTCGAGGTTCACTGGAGGAAGTCTAGTGGAAGCATTTCATGCCAATGACATCATGGCACTGACGTGGCATGACAAACGGGACATGACGTTGCTGTCAACCATCCACAGACACGAGATGGTACAGAGACTGAGCAGGTTGAACTATGAACCCATTGTAAAGCCAGCTACTGTCATCGACTATACAAACAATATGTGACTAGTCGACAAGTGTGACATGATGACAGGGTTTGTTGACTGTGAGTAGGAGTCGCAAGTGGTATATAAATGTGTTTTCCACCTTGTAGACATTGCAATGCTCAATGCCTTCAACATGTACAAAATAAAGACTGGGAAGCGACGATATGCAAAATTCACCCTCAATGTCATCAAGCAGATGGCGAAAAAGTATGGTACCACACCTATACCTGTTACTCCACAGCTACCTGTCACCCCACAACCAGAGGGGTAAGTGCCCAACCGAATAATCCCTAACTGTCACTGCCTAATACCGCTACCATCTACTCCAAAGAAGAAGTATTCCCAGAAAAAGTGTGTTGTGTGTGCTTACACCAAACAGCGACCCCAAGTGCAAAAAGACACACGATACATGTGTCAGCAGTGTGGGGTGGCATTCTATGAATCCATGCTTCATGGAGTACCATACTGTGGTGGACTTCTAGAAACATAAATGGGACTTGTAAATACCTTGTATATATATGTAAACAGTAGTATGTGATTGAACCAGGTGTACAAATTCATTTATCAGTGTGAACATGTGTGTTTGTGACAGTATGATTACTAATTTAGTACCAAACAATTGTGTCTCAACAAGAATTGGTTATGAAATCAAAAGATCTGTAAGAAAACATTATCATCATAACATGAAAACAACAAAAAACAGAAAAAGAATTGGAAAAAAACGATTAATGTTTATTATTTCTGCAAGAGGCAGTGCTCCATGTTGCCGACACCTCATCATTTAGCACCAACTTCGCAGGCTTATATCTCGGTAAGTATTACCCTAATTTTTTTTTATTCTATAACATTTATAAAAATGCACTCTTCAATTAAAAAAAAAAAAAAGATTTTTTTTTATTTTTCAAAATATTCAGAGTACTGCGCAGGTGAACGTAGAGCTACGTTTGGACAGTTTAAGGATTAAAGTGCAGGCACTGTACTTCCCACTTCCAGGACTCAAGTCTGGCTAACCAGTTTCCCTGAATCCCTTCACACTCCAACATCTCATCAGGTCCCAAAAATTATTCATCTCCATTCACTCATATCTAACATGCTCACACATGCCTGCTGCATGTCCAGGCCCCTTACACACAAAACCTCTTTTACCCCCTCCCTCCATCCTTTCCTAGGACAACCCCTATCTCTCCTCCCCTCCACTACAGATATATACACCCTCCAAGTAATTCTATTTTGCTCCACCCTCTCTAAATGACCAAACCACCTCAATAACCCCTCTTGAGCCCTCTGAATAATACTTTTTGTAACTCCACACTTCCTCCTAACTTCCACAGTACAAATTCTCTTGCACAATATTTGCACCACACATTACCCTTAGACACATCTCCATTGCCTCCAGCCTCCTCCTCTGCTGTAGCATTCACAACCCATGCTTACATCCATATAAGAGTGTTGGTACCACCATACTCTTTTACATTCCCTTCTTTGCCTCCATAGATGATGTTTTTTGTCTCCACAGACACCTCAATGCACCACTCGCCTTTTTTCCTTCATCAATTCTATGATTAACCTCATCCTTCATAAACCCATCTGCTGACAAATCTACTCCCAAATATCTCAACACATTCACTTCAACTTACTCCCTCCCTTCAATGTGATATCCAATTTTTCTTTACCTAACACATCTGATATCCTCATCACCTTACACTTATCAATGTTCACCTTCAATTTCATTTTTTACACTCCTTCCAAATTTATCCACTAACCTTCGCAACTTCTCTTTAGAATCTCCCAAAAGCACAGTATCATCAGCAAAAAGTAACTGTGACAACTCCCATTTTGTATTTGATTCCCTATAGTTTAATCCCACCCCTCTTTCCAACACCCTAGTATATTTACTTCTCTTACATTTCCATCTATAAATATGGTTAATTAGGTTAGCTAAGGTTTGTCAGGAAACAGGACAAGTGTCTCCTGACGCGGGTCTAAGTCAGATAATGACCCACCATTGGAGCTTTCGGTCAACTGACCAAGGCCTTCCACTGGTTTACCAGTCCACCCCTTAAAAAATTTATACACCCTCCAAGTCATTCTACTTTGTTCCATTCTCTCTAAATGACCAAACCACCTCAACAACCCCCTCTTCAGCCTTCTGACTAATACTTTTTGTAACTCCACACCACCTACTAATTTCTACACTACGAATTCTCTGCATAATATTTACACCACACATTACCCTTAGCCACGACACTTCCACTGCCTCCAGTTTTTCTCCTTGCTGCATTATTTACAACCCACACTTCACACCCATATAAGTGTTGGTAACACTATACTTTCATACATTCCCTTCTTTGCCTCCATGGATAACATTTTCTGTCTCCACAGACGAGTGGTTCATTCATCTTCTTTCCTTCATCAATTCTATGGTTAACCTTATCCTTCATAAACCCATCTGTTGACAAGTCAACTCCCAACTTCTTCCATACTCCCTCCCTCCATTGTGATATCCAATTTTTCTTTATCTAAATCATTTGATACTCTCATCACCTTACTCTTTTCAATGTTCACTTTAAACTTTCTACCTTTACACACCCTCCCAAACTCATCCACTAACCTTAGAAACTTTTCTTTAGAATCTCCCAAAAGCACAGTATCATTAGCAAAAAGGAACTGTGTCAACTCTCATTTTGTATTTGATTCCCCATAATTCAATCCCACTCCTCACCCCACCACCCTAGCATTTACTTCTTTTACATCCCCATCTATAAATATGTTAAACAACCGTGGTGACAACACACATCCCTGTCTAAGACCTACTTTTACTGGGAAGTAACCTCCCTCTCTCCTACACACCCTAACCTGAGCCTCACTATCCTTGGAAAAACTCTCTATAGCATTTAGTAACTTATTACCTATTTCATACATTTGCAACATCTCCCACAGTGCTCCCCTATCCACTTTCATATGCCTTTTCTAAATTTTCCCCAAATTCCCCCTAAATGCAATGAAAACTTTCCCTTTCCTTTACCTAAATACTGTTCACATATACTATTTTCAACTAAACACTTGATAAAACCATCCCCAAACCCCTTTAAAACTTCCTTGTTTAACTGCAATCCTTCTTTTTTGTTTTGCCTCTAATTCTTTCAAATTTTAACCCCCACCCTACCCTTTTCCTGGTATACTCAATAAACTTATTCCCCTATAATTTTTACCCAAACCCTTTTTCCCCCCCTTTCCCTTTTTAAAAAAAAACTAACCCAAACTAACTGCCAAAACCCTAGGGAAACCCTAACCCCTTTTTATACGTTTTAAAAATTTAAAAAAAAATACAAACCAAAGCCAACCCATATCCATCCCCCCCCCCTTGCCTTTTAACATTTTTTGTCATGATCCCCCCTCAGTTCCCCGCTGCTTTAACCCCCTTTCATTCTACGTAATGCCTCACGCACCTCCCCCACACTCATATCCTGCTCTTCTTCACTCCTAAAAGATGCTGTACCTCCCCGGCTAGTGCAGGAAATTACTCTCTTTTTTTTTCTTCATCAACATTCAAAAGTTCCTCAAAATATTCCTACCATTTACACAATACCTCCAGCTCCCCATCTACTAGCTCCCCTATTCTGTTTTTGACAAATCCATTCGTTTCCTAGACTTTCTTAACCTGTTCATCACACTCCAAAATTTTTTCTTATTCTCAGCCAAATTTGTTGACAGTACCTCTCCCATTCTATCATTTGCTCTCCTTTTACACTCTCTCACCACTCTCTTCACCTTTCTTTTACTCTCCATATACTCTGCCCTTCTTATATCACATAAATAAAACAAACCAAAATGTATGGGCCCCTTTTGAGCTTGAGGATGAGGCCAAATTGCCATCCTGCCACTGCACCCCATCCCCCATAATCCCTCTGATTGATCTTGAGTTACATATGTATCCTCTATTGTTAGTGTTAACCAAAGCAACTCTGCAGTCATGTACTTTTTAAACGTAGAGCATTTCTGCCCGAAATGCTCATGCATGCTAGTTGCTTCGTTGTGCTTAACAATATTTTACTACATGTAAATAGACAAGAAAATATGTACACTGCCTTCCTTTATGTTTTACAAAGTACAATCAAAAACACTTACTTGATGCCATCTTGATTATTTACAGTGGAATCAACAGACTGCAGTTAAAGTGTTGCCTGCAAAAGAGGTGATTAATTAGCACAAACTTGTATAATGCAAATTATTAGATCAGTTACTAGAAATATTAATATACAAAGGAAACAAAATTATTTATGTCTATAAATGGTATAATAAATACTACAAATGTTTCTCACAGTCTCTGGTAGATGACTGAAGTGCCTAAGAAATTCTGTGTAATGCCATCACTCCAGGAATAAGAATTTAAAACAAAGCATAAATCCCTTATTCTTCTGAAGCACAAGTTACATCATGTAATACAATTACTGCACTGTAATACTGTCAAACTATGGTGTCCATTTAAAAAAAAAAGCATAATGAACATGTACTATGAACATGAAAATTAAGAGCACACAAAATCAGACTTGCACTTGAACACTCTTCCTTAAATATACCGTAACAAAACTTAAGAAGGAACTTTTTAGATGATGAAAGATCAATCTTCTTTCAGAAGACTTTGTAACCGCTCTGAGAACATTAGTCAGTCAGGCATCATTACCACAGGTCTTAGTGATCATTTCATCATTTACTGCACCAGGAAAATCACTAGGGATCGGATAGGCCTACACAGGACAATAAAAATGAGGTCAACTAGAAACTACAGTAAAGAAACACTGGTAAATAGGCTACACAATTGTGACTGGACAGAGATAACAAGTTGCACGGACGTAAATGATGCCTGGAAAAAATTCAAAACAATGTTCACTACCATCCTTGATAATATTGTACCAGTTAAAGAGGTTAGGATTAAACGAAGAACTGAACCCTGGATGAATACTGAGATATTAGATAATATGAAATTCAGAGACCAGCTGCTAAAAAGATTTAAAGCAAACAGACAGGATATTGCAGCACTAAATGAATTCCAAAGGGTGAGGAACAGAGTACAGAGACTTATAAAAGGAGCAAAGGCAAAGCACCATTGCTCAAAAATTGAAGAGTATAAGCATAACCCCAGAAAGCTCTGGCAACAACTAAAACAGTTGGGGTATAGCCATAAGCCAGTAGATAGGTCTAACATAGTACTCACTATCAATAATGAGGTATGCCACGAAACATCTAAGGTGGCAAATTGCTTTAATTCCTACTACACATCTGTTGCATCAACACTAGTAAGTAAACTACCAGCTGCATCAAATACCTTTAACACAGTAAGTAAGTAAGTAAATTTATTCAGGTATACACAATACAGTTACATAGAATTATCATACATAGCAGCATATGTGTAGAGAACCTAGGATAACCCAAAAAAGTCAGACAGAGTGACTCTGATAAGTTTCAAACATACTATACCAATAAAGGGGTAACCCCCAACAGTTGTCAACTAGTAAGTGTATCTCATGACTTCATTCAAAAAGTACTAAGCAGGTTAAACCCAACTAAGAGCACTGGCCCTGATAACACCCGTCTAATTTCCTAAAAGAGGGTACTTCTAAACTGTCAATCCCTTTTTGCCCTAAAAACTATAAATCACCACTAATACCGTCCCGGGGGGTTTCAAGGAGGCCAGGTTACCCCTATCTTAAAGAAAAAAGTATTGATGTAACAACTATAGCCTTTTAGTTACCATACAATATCAAAAATTTCTGGGAGGGCTGTATTCTCAAGTTTAAAGTCCTTAAAAAACACATTTCCATAGCTAAAAAAGGGGCTTTAGAAGTTACTCAACCGAACCTCCCTTATTAATCGAGGTTCCCTGAGAACTGAAATGTAAAAGGGGGAACCTCTAGGTATGGTAACTTGCCCTGCAAAAGGCCTTCGATACGTCAACCAATTTATTATGAAAAAAACTTAAAAGCATGGGTATAGTTTGTAGATGGTTTAAGTCCACCTTAGCAATAGGAGAAAATAGCCAAAACAACAAAAGGGAATCAAAACCCCCTCCCGAAACAGTGGACCCCCAAGGTATATTTGGGCCCCTATATTCTTATGTTTGTAAATAAAAAGCCTATCTGTCAAGGCAAACCCCTCTGAACAGATGACGTGCCTGTTAGTGACGGTAAAGCCCCAAAAGATATTCAATTTTTTAACACTGGAAGGGACCCTGCCAAATGGTTAGTAGACAACAAACTACATTACACCTGGGGAAAACTAAACCCCTTTTTTTTGGCACAAAACAAAACGAAAAGGGGGTAAAAAATTTTTAAAATGTTCAGGTTTGGGGGAGCCCACACTTGTTCACAGTAAAATACGGGGGAATCCCTTTGCCCCCAGCATGTCAGGAGAATTGATGGGGAAAAAGTGTAAAAGAAAGCGAATGCCAACAATTCCCTGTATAACAAGCACAGTGTTACCTATGAGGCCGCGGACCCTATGTCTACCCCCTTATACAATCCATATGGATTCCCTTGCTCCATGGTACTCTGTTGAAAAAAAAACTAAAAGATAGACGAAATCCCCAAAACAAAATCGTAAGATTCATCCTGGGCTGGAACAAGAGAACTGTGGCCAGGATAAATTACAGCAGTTGGATATGTTGAATTTTTGAAGAAGAGTAAAACAACTGAAGCAAAATCTGTTTAAAAAAATTGTACAAACAGTCCCCAAAAAATTTGCTGTCAATTTTGTCAAGGGGGGAAACCAAAGCAACTGTATAGGGGGAAAAGACAACTTTGTGTCCCCACAGTCTTTGGCCGGGCGTCAAACACCTTTTTTGTACGCAAAAAAGGGAAATGGAACAGACTACCCGCACATGTCAAAGCCAGTCATAGCATGAAACCATTCAAGAAAAGGGGCCAAAAGGTGTCTGATGAATGTAGCTACAGAAAGGGAGGGGAATGATTTTCTATTTTTTAGCTAACATACGTGTAAATTTTACCTTATTCCTAGTAATGACCCTCGTATTGTAGATAGTCTTAATGACCCTCGTGTAGTAGATAGTCTTTTTAGTATGATAATAAGATGTTATCTTCATTGTAGAATAATAAGAAAATATTATAACCTTTATATTATAATAATAAGGTAAAGGGACCCCAATGGAAATAAGTCACTCTGTCTGACTTTTTTGGGTTATCCTAGGTTCCCTACACATATGCTGCTATGTATGATAATTCTGTGTAACTGTATTTGTGTATACCTGAATAAACTTACTTACTTACTTAATCTACTGTCCTTTCTGATGATTCAAGAAGAAATTCTTATTAATAATGCTGCTTCACACACCTATTTCCACTGTACTTTCTTAGTTACACTTGCATTGCTATACAGTAAACCCTCAATAAAATGGACAATGGAAATACAAGACAATATCCACTGGATCAACTGATTTAGAAACAATGGGCTAAATACATTCGTTACAGAAGTGTCCATTCCTGTTATGATTACTGCAAAATAATCTCATCTCTATCCACCATATACAGTATCACCATAATCAGTCACTCAACTCCACTCCATTAACAGTCAGTTGAATCAAGAGCTTACTACTATATTTATGTGAAGAGCTACAATGAATACTGGTGCAATGAATACTAGTGCAATGAATATTGGAAGCTTGATCCTTCATTCACTAAGCTCAAGACATACACACTATTCTTCCAGCCAGGTGAAAGCTGTCAGTGTTTATATCAAGAGCTCTGCTCCCTTTTCAATACAGTACCTCTACATACTGGTATTTCCTTTCAATGACTACTGCTCATATATTCTTTGAATCACTATTTCCATGGACCCAAATACTGTGCTAGCTTAACACTGCTCACTACCCAAACACAAGTCTGCTGCCTGGTGTCTACAGTATTTGACTTCAGATGATCTGACAGTGGGTGCACCACATTTCCTCCATCACCTCTCTCAATCAGTTCTGCCTGACATTGGTTCTATGGGCACCAACCAACAATTAAGACATGGGACAGGACACAAACCCTAGTGTGAAAGAATTAAGAGTAAGACAGACAGTAGGATAGCAGATGAACAAGAAGGCTTTAGGAAGGGTAGGGAGTGTGTAGACCAAGTGTTTACAGTGAAACATATAGGTGAACAGTGTTTAGATAAGGGTAAAGAAGTTTTTGTCGTATTTATAGATTTGGAAAAGGCATATGACAGGGTGGATAGGGAGGCAATGTGGCAGATGCTGCAAATGTATGGAATAGGAGGTAGGTTATTGAAAGCAGTGAAGAGTTTTTACGAGGACAGTGAGATTCAGGTTAGCGTATGTAGGAGAGAGGGAGATTATTTCCCAGTAAAAGTAGACCACAGACAAGGAAGTGTGATGTCACCATGGTTGTTCACTATATTTATAGATGGGGTTGTAAGAGAAGTGAATGCTTGGGTGTTGGCAAGAGGTGTGGGGTTAAACAAAGAATCTAACACAAAGTGGACGTTGTCACAGTTGCTCTTTGCTGATGACACTGTTTTTGGGAGATTCTGAAGAGAAGTTGCAAAGGTTGGTGGATGAGTTTGGCAGGGTATGTAAAAGAAGAAAATTAAAAGTGAATATAGGAAAGAGTAAGGTGATGGGGTTACCAAAAAGTTAGGTAATGAAAGATTGGATATCAGATTGGAGGAAGAGAGTATGGGGATGAATGTATTCAGATATTTAAGAGTGGATGTGTCAGCAGATGGGTCTATGAAGGATGAGGTGAATCACAGAATTGACAATGGGAAAAAGGCGAATGGTTCACTGAGGAGTCTGTGAAGACAAAGAACTTTATCCATGGAAGCAAAGAAGGGAATGTATGAGAGTATAGTTATACCAATGCTCTTATGTGGGTGTGAAGCATGGGTGGTAAATGTTGCAACAAGGAGAAGGCTGGAGGCAGTGGAGATGTCGTAACTGAGGGCAATGTGTGGTGTGAATATAATGCAGAGAATTCGTAGCTTGGAAATTAGGAGGTGAGGGATTACCAAAACTATTATCTAGAGGGCTGAGAAGGGTTGCTGAGGTGGTTCAAATATGTAGAGAGGAAGAAACAAAATAGAATGACTTTGAGAGTGTATAAATCTGTAGTGGAGGGAAGGTGGGGTAGAGGTCGCCTAGGAAAGGTTGAAGGGAGGGGGTAAAGGA